CAGCAGCAGCAGACTGTCTCCTTTTTTTTTTTTTTTTGCATTTTTTCTTGCAGCATATAAGGATTTTTTATAGATAAAAAAAGAAGAGGAAGAAGAAAGGAGACAAATAAATAAATAAATAAATAAATAAATAAATAAATAAATAAATATAAATAAATAAATAAATAAGAAGATGGGGGATTTCTTTAGCGGTATAATTGGAGGAATAATTGGTGCTGCTGCTGCTGTAGATGTACCAGCAGAAGGAGAGAGACACCCTCGTGCTGCAGCAGGTACAGATTGGGGTGTATGTACAGCTAAATTAGGGGACACAATAAAGGAGATAGAGACAGTAATAAATAGTGTCTCCTTTATTGCCGGTAGATTAGCAAATTGTCTCCGTATAGGTATTGAGCATCTAAGTAAGTGTATACTGTCTCCTTCTTCCTCCTCCTCCTCCTTCCTTTCCTCCTCCTCCTCTTGCCCATGCCTACTAGATAAGAATGATATTAATGAGGGTATAGAGGCAGGGAGACAGGGGACAGAGTGTCTCCTTAGGGGGGGTAAATTATTTATTGAGGTATTAATAGATGCAAGTAAGATAGCAGCAACAAGGTGTCTCCTATTAGCAGCAAGCAGCAAGGATATTATTATTAGGCAGCTACCTTATACACAAGATAAATTATATAAGACTTATTCTTCTTTCCTTAGGGGATACCAGAGCAGCGCAGCAGCAAGACTTGGTGGTGCTGCTGCTGCACCTTATTCTGCTGCAGCACAGCAGCAACCTAGCTATGGTGCTCCTCCTGCTAGTCAGCAACCATCAGGGGGATTCTTCTGGTAAACTAGCAGCAGCAACAGCAGCAGCAGCAGCAGCAGCAGCAGCAGGAGGGGGAGAGGGAGCGGGAGAGGAGAGAAATATGGAGCAGCAGCAGCAACAGCAGCAGCAGCAGCAGCAGTATAATTGGAGCAGCAGCAAGAAAGGAAGAGAAGGATTTACTCCTTTTTCTTACTTACTTACTACTGTCTCTTGATTTATTTGTATGTTTATACTGCAGCAGCAGCAGCAGCAGCAGCAGCAGCAAGTATATCATCAACTATACCATCTATAATATCTCCCTTTCTTCTCTGCATGCATGCATGCATGCATGCATGCATGTGTGCTGCTGCAGGTTATGTATGCATGCATGCACACCCATACATACGCAGTGTATATGCTGTTGTATTTATTACCTGTATATATATATGTATAGCAAGGGGTAATAAGACAGACTACTGCCCTGCAGCAGCAGCAGCAGCAGCAGCAGCAAGAGCGGCAACAGCAACAGGTGCGGGTGCAGCAGGTGCTGCAGCAGCAGCAGATGCAACAGCAGCAGGTGCAGCAGATGCAACAGCATTAGCAGGTGCATATATGCAGCATATGCAGCAGGTGCAGGTGCAGCAGCAAGCAGCAGCAGCAACCAGCAGCAAGCAGCAGCAGCAGCAGCAGCAGCAGCAGCAGCAGCAGCATATTTTGCCTAATTGTCTCCTTATTGCTGCTGCTAGGGACGATTGATTCGCAGCAACTAGCAGCAGCAAATAGCCGCAGGGACTAGCGCTGCGGCTACTTACTAAGAAAGGAGACAAATAAATAAATAAATAAATAAATAAATAAAAAAGGAGACAGTTAATAAATAAAAAAGGAGAGACAGTTGCTGTTTATTTATTCTTATTTATTTATATAAATAAGAATAAAGGAGACAATTGTCCCTTTTTTTATTTATATATTTATTGTCTCCTTTTCTTATTAAAAGGAGACACATAAGGAGACACTATATTAATTGCCTGGATAAGGAGAGATAATATATATATAAAGATGTTTATTGTGTACTGCAGCAGCAGCAGCAGCTAATGCAGCAGCAGCAGCAGCAGCAGCTAATGCAGCAGAAAGTGCAGCAGCAGCAGCAGCAAGTGCAGCAGCAACATGTATTTGTCGTGTAGCAACTGCAGTGTATAGGGAGGTTTGTCTCTAACGGATAAATCTCTTCCTTATACAGCAGCAGCAAACTGCAGCAGCAGCAGCAGCAGCAGCAGCAGCAGCAGCAGCAGCAGCAGCAACATAAACAGCTGCCTTGTGTCATTTAATTATTATTCCTTTGGCACTAGGGGTGGCAATAAAAGGAGACAGGAGACAATTAAGTGTCTCTTTATTTATTTATTTATTTATTTATTTATTAATAAATAAATAAATAAATAAATATAAATAAAAAAAAAAAGGAGACACTTTTTGTCTCCTGTCTCCTCGAGGTCTGCCCTCAGGTTTTTACGCCACATAAATTTTAACTCCTCTTTTCTTTACAGGTTCCAGGCACCAATTCTGTCTAGCTAGCTAGCTAGCTGGCTAGCTAGATAGCTAGCCAGCTGGCTAGCTGGCTGTCTAGCTAGCTAGCTAGCTGGCTGGCTAGCTGGCTGTCTAGCTAGCTAGCTAGCTAGACAAGTAGATGTTTAGCACAGCTTAGTCAGCTATATGTATAGATAGCTTAGATGTATAGCTAGCTAGCTAGCTAGCCAGCTAGCTAGCTAGCTAGCCATGTACACATGTTTAGCTCGGTCTAGCTAGCTAATTAGGTGCATCAGTAGCTAACTAGTATATATAGCTAATTAGCTAGCTAGCTAGCTAGCTAGCTAGCTAGCTAGGTATACGGAGGTATATAGCTAATCATAAGGATGTATAGCTAGTTGGCTAGCTAGCTAGCCATATGACCAACTAGCCAAGCAGATATATACATGGCTAGCTATCCAGGTGTATGTAGGCAACTAGCTAGGA